ATAATGACTTAATGAATAGATATAATGAATTTACTTCATTTATTTAGGACATTTGCATCCATGTTCTTTGGTATTTAGCGCCAACAGAATTGGGACTGACTTCCCTCTTTCCCGCCTGGTACCAAAAACCACTCCAGAAGATTTGTCAGCCTTTAGGAGCAGGTTTTAAGGAGCTCCCGGGTGAGCGAGAGGCTATCCAGAGGAATATCCAATTTACATGGCTAATTTATACAGAGTTAGCAAACTGGGCCCGCTAGCGTTGTGCTATTTACATGAATTGGCAAGTGAAGCCATAATTTCAGGCTTTCCAGTTCTATTTGGAGCCATCAGGACTTCCACCTGGGGCTTACATCTGCACGAAAACATGCATTTTATTATTAAACCACGGCCCCTCCCTACATGAATTACGGAGTGGACCCTCCAGGGAGGCCACTGCAGCAACTGGGCTTCTGTGTGTGAACATCTTCTGGATATTTTGCTGTCAAAAAGTGCCCTTTTCTTGGTGGGGGAAAAGATCAGTGCACAGGAGGCAGATGTCACGAGTAGGTGAACTCAAAATCTTCCACCCACCTTCCGGAATAATGATAAAATATACTTTGCTCTCAGGCAGAAATATGCAGCTGCATATTTTGGAAGATAAGGATTTCCTGAGTCACTGTATTCTTTCAATACTGTCATGTGGTTTTTGCCCACAGAGTGCAGGCTATAATTTTTTCTCTGACACTTGTTCCTGTTTAAACAGAGATGCAGAACGTTTAAAAGAATAATGCACCGAGAAGCCAAAGAATTCAAAATGCTTTCACTTGATGGATGGTTATGCTACATTGTCTGGTACTGGAAACACCCATTCCGCTGACCTTGCAGAATGCACTTATTAAACGTCCTAGACAGAAGTTTGGGGGGAAAAAAAGACTGAGTATTGAGAAACGTAGGAACGGTTTCCTTTTCCTATCACTTATATTCTGTTTTTGTAGACACAAAGTCCCACTAGTCTTACTGTAGACAGTTCATTTTATTCTTGGTAGCAAAGCACAGACGTATAGAAAACTACTGTAATAATCGGACGCTAGAGGTTTTTGTCTGTATGTAGCCGTTGTTGCTGAATGTGACAAAAATTCAAACCGGCTGCAGGCACACAAAAGAGCAATAGAAAAGGAACCCCGTATCTGCTCGCTTCCAAACCAACTGCAGATGCTGAAAAATGCGGATTACAGGGAACGCTATCCATAGCATGCTCTCTGGCTCGCTCTAGCGGCCAGTTCTGGTGACTTCCCCTTGGGAAATACATATTTCTGGAACTCATCTTTTGAGATCGCGGATAACGGGACCGCGGATACTGATTTCCGCGGATACGGGTTCCCTTTTTATTTCGTATACATTTTTGGGAAGGGCAGGCTCCTCTCCTCTCAGTTCTTTCTCTCGGGTTCCGCTTTCCAAGGCGCCCTGTCCCATCTTGAGTAATTCCCCCCCGAGATGGAAAACGTGGAGGTGGGGTAACTTTTTAAAAAAGTAACGTTTGCTGCTCCCTTCGCACCGCATCCCCTCTCCTGCTTAGTCCGCCCCCCAATTTGGCGGTTCCCGCGCAGGCGCGCCTCCTTCCTTCCTTCCTCCCCCCTCCTTTGGCCCCGCCCCTCCTCCCTCACAACGGCCGCTCCTCCCGTCACCCGTGGCAACGGCTTTGAGGCCCGGAGGAGGGGGCGGGGCGTAGAATGACGACGACAGAGGAGGCGCCGGCCGATTTCCATCTCCCTCCGCGGCTGTTGGGGCGCCGTGTGCCCGTTTCCTCCGCCCGTCTCCTTCCGCGCGCGGAGAAGCGGCCCCGCGAGGGGAGGGGAGGAGGAGGAGGAGGGAGCCCCGGAGCGACGGGAGGGCGAGGACGGGGGGCCCGGAGGAGGGGGCGGGGCGTAGAATGACGACGACAGAGGAGGCGCCGGCCGATTTCCATCTCCCTCCGCGGCTGTTGGGGCGCCGTGTGCCCGTTTCCTCCGCCCGTCTCCTTCCGCGCGCGGAGAAGCGGCCCCGCGAGGGGAGGGGAGGAGGAGGAGGAGGGAGCCCCGGAGCGACGGGAGGGCGAGGACGGGGGGGCGGGGCGGTNGAGCGCCCCCTGGCCGTGTGCAGAGCGCCACGCCCCCTCTCTGAGCCACGGTGCCTCTGAGCATGGGCCGAGTGGGATTTCAAAAAGCACGACCGGACGCCCCTTTTGGTCTCTGGAGCTCCTTTCTCTCCCGCCTGGCCTTCTCTCTCTCTCTCTCTCTCTCTCTCTCTCATGAATGAGAGAGAGAATCTATCTATCTATCTATCTATCTATCTATCTATCTATCTATCTATCTATCCTCTCTCATTCATATATATATGTATAGACACACAGTATCTATATACCGTGTAATATATATATATAGTTGCAATCGCATATAGATACAGTTGCAACAAAACATGTTTATATATATTGACACATATTAGACTATATACAGTATATACATTACATATATAAACATATTACACGGTATATACTCTATTGTGTTTGTGTGTGTATACATACACATAAGAGTATATACTGTATGTCCGTATGTATACACAGAGGGAGAGAGTGTATATAACTACAGTAATTGGTATTAGTGTTAAGTGGCCCTGGAATTGCAATCCAGGGCTGCTCACACTGAAATAGATTTGTTATTCCCAAAGGTGCTACAGTACTTTTCATTACGTTTCATGTAGCAGTAACTAAATCAAGCAAAGACAGACAAAACCACGTTTATAAAGAACGCCATAACTTAGCAAGGATGGGGTGGCATCTTAAAAGACTGACTTTTATATTCTTTTTTTTAAAATGGGGGAAGAATATGACTATGTTTTATTTTTAAATGATATAGACTATATTGAGTAAGAACAATTTTGTTAACAGGGCAGCAGTTCTTTCTGCGAAGAGAAGAGACACTGGGCAGACAGAGAAGCAGTGCATGGCATTTCAGAGTAGCCCTATTTATAATTATAGCTATATTTTAAAAATCCACCTCCTTTGTATTCTAATGTAAGCTCTCGTGGATTTTGTCAGAGGTATTTGCAAACATGAATACAGCTAATTCTCTGGAAGCAAAAACAAAAGGATTGCAGCACTATGAAAAACCAACAACCCACTCCTTAAGATCCCTGGAGCACAACACTTCTATTTTCTTTTTTCCTTTCCACTCTGAAACAAAACTCCTTGAAAGCTTTTCCCTGAGCAGCTGGGACTTAAAAGAGAAAAGTGCCGCTTGACTCTGCACAGAGATATTAATTTAAAATAAAACTTTAAAAGATGAAGGTCATTCTGATCATAGGCTGACTCCTCTCCAGTTAAGTTGACCTTCCCCAATCTAGGTCTTTAAGTTGGCCTGGGGGGGATGATGGAAGTTGTAGTCCAGAACAGCAAAAGGGTACCAAATTAAGGTTGCCTAAAGTGACCTACATGTGAAGGAGAGGGTACCAAATTGGGGAAGGTTGCCTAAAGTGACCTACATGTGAAGGGAGCAGATTCTAAGGGCACCAAGATGCCTGACAATTCCCTTTTTGAACAAAAGGAAAAGAGGAATCTGACCACATGTGAATTAGGCCTGTTTTTTTATTTTAAGGGGCAATAAGAAAGAAATAGGGGTGACCTCCACGTGGGAGTAAAGGGAGTCTGAAGCTACTGTGTTTTTCTCCCAAATGTGGGATTCATTCCATATGGAAAACACCTTGTTCTCTTCTGCTTTTTGAGTCATCGGAAAGAATGGCCACATCTTCATTTTGGACTTAAAAAAACCCCAGCATAGCTGTTTTACCTATGAAAGGATGTGGGGAAAAAATCCATCCTTCAATCACAATGATGATGGCGAATGCAATGATTGTGATGTGCACCACTGATGCTAAGGCATACCTGATCTTTGTTAAATGATGCTGAGCATGTGCTCCCAAATAAATGGTAAAATAGGGTGTCAGGATGTTGTGAGTAAGACAGTATCAGTGATTTGAACCAATTTCTGTTGACACACAGGACAGTTCATAAAGCAGAATGAAACTTCTAAGGCAGAATTATCTGGGGTTATTCAACTATTGACAATTATACCAAGAAAACCAGGTCTATAAATCATATAACTTTTCAACTTTGTATTAAAACCATCTTCCTGCAGGCAGAAGACATGTAACCTTCCGAGCCAGCAAGTGTAATGAGTTCCTCTGGACAAGACCAACATGAAAGTAATTCTGAAAGAACCAGTGCACATACAAGAAGTGCGGAATTACAGCTGCGCTGCACCTACCCAAATGAAAGGCGAGAAAGGAATCAAATTTACACTCTTCTGAACATCAGCAACAGCATCAATGAGGAAGAGGAACGGGTTAACCCCGAATGGGTTAACGGGACAGGATGGGAGGATGCTGTAAGTGAACATTTCCCTTCTCGGCCACTGAGTCACCTTAAAAGACCTTTTAAAAATGTGTTCCTTTAAAAGCAAAACCAACAAAGTGTCTTAGGTGTTCTTGATGAACCACAGGGTTGAACCTCCCCACGGAGAACACAACACATACAGCGGGGATTTTATGATCCGTCCCATCTCTGTTGTTTCTGCATTCAGGCTTCTAGTAAACTTCACTGAAAGAGACAGAGAAGGTTCTCTGTAGGAGTTAACTGGTGCAGATGGACACTGTAACAGCCGGTGGTAGTCCTTGAAATACAGCATTGCAGGAGACATTTTGATACAGCTTCAGTTGATTTGTTTTCATTTTTTAAGGTTTATAAACTGCTTTGAGGGTTGTTGTGGGTTTTTCGGGCTCTTTGGCCGCGTTCTGAAGGTTATTCTTTCTGATGTTTCGCCAGTCTCTGTGGCCGGCATCTTCAGAGGACTGGAGTCGGAACATAGACAGAGTTCCTACAGAGCATGGACAGAGTTCCTACTCCAGTCCTCTGAAGATGCTGGCCACAGAGACTGGCGAAATGTCAGGAAGAACAACCTTCAGAACACGGCTGAACAGCCCCAAAAACTCATAACAACCATCATCAGATCCCGGCTGTGAAAACCTTCGAGAATACAATGCTTTGAGGGTGTTCATCAAGAGGGTGGCATCTAAAAATCTGAAATGAATATTTCTTCATGGGCAAACCTTCAACTTATTTTTAAGCTGGAAGGGACTTTATCGATCATGGCCTTCCACTTTTCCTGTTGCCTTCACACTTTCCCAGCATCATTTGTCTTTTCCAGAGAGTCCTGTCTTCTCAGGATGTGTCCAAGGTTGGACAGCCTCAGTTTCAACATTTATGCCTCCAGAGATAGTTCAGGCTTGATTTGATCTAGGACCCACTTGTTCGTCTTTCTGGCCGTCCAGGGTATCTGCAAATTTCTCCTCTAGCAGAACAGTTGAAACAAATTGATTTATTTCCTGTCAACTTTATTTACCGTTCAGCGTCCACACCCACCATACATGGTGATTGGAAATATAACGGTGAATGATTGTGGTCCCCAGTGACACATCTTCACATGTTAGAATGATCTCTAGTTCCTCCATAGTTTAGCATATGCTAAAGTCAAGAGTCTGAATCCCATTGTAGTGGCTTCAGAACACCTTAGTAACTTAATTGTGGCTTCATGCTTTTTTGGGTGGGGGTGGGGGTGGAAGGGTTTCCTCTCTGCCGAGTTACATTTTGTGGTTTTGCCATTTGAAACAGGCAGCACCAGCTGCTTGCTAACTGTAGTTAATGCTGTATTTCTTTCTTGCTGTCTTTCAAACACTTTGCTAATTTGTATTCCTGTCTTTTTGCTCCTAGGTCCAGGGCTGGAGCAAAACACCTTCCTTTGCATATCTTCAAGTACAAAAGAGAGCCAGAAAAACGAAGGCCAGCGAGTCTGCCAGTGGGTGCCTGTACTGTGCAGATCTGATGCAAGGTATTGACAAAGGGCTGGAGAGCCATGCCAGGACTGCAGAGCAACTGAAATCCAATTTCAGATTAACTACATACGCTGCTACAGACAGTGTTGCCGGAAAAAAACAGAGTCTTTGTCCTAGTGCGACTGCAAATTCTTCATCAACAGACGATCCTAAAAAATGCTCTAGTCAAGGAGACAAGAAAAAAATGACCTTAAAAGAAGCTCAGGCTTCTTTGATTGAAAGGAGGTTTTTTGTAATGAAGGAAAGCTCCCTGTTCCAGGCTGACAAGAAAACGGTGCCAATCAAGGAGTATAGTATACTCCCTCCAGGAAAGCCTAAAAGTTTAGAAACTCTAAAATGCAAAGACATAAAAAGCCAGGAGCAGCCTTCTACAAGTAGTCAAACTTCTGAAGCGACTGCTCTTAAGTCGCCATTGGTACTGCCACCTCTGAAAGATGCTGCTCCCAAGAACGGCCTGGATCCTTCATCAAGGAAAAGACAGACAGCTCTTTCTCAGGCAAGTGAAAAACCACTTTCAGAGACAACTTCCCATACTCAGGTGTTTAAAACAAAAGAACAGAACTTTGAAAAAGGGATCCACACCATGTACGATGCCCTGAAGGAACAAATACAGATGCACGAGATAGCCTCTTTTGTCCCAAGGCTTGCCAAGACTTCGTTCCACTCAAGAAATCTGGATCAGTGCTACTGGCACTATACTCTTTTCCCAGATAAAAAGATTGGACCCATGTCTAATGCAATTGCAGGGCGAAGACACAGCCACCCAAACAGTGTGCATTTTCTGCATACAAAGGCAGCGCAAACCAGCAAGGCCAATGGGATTCAAGACCCTTGTGTCAGAAGCAGGAGTCACACTGGAGCCAAACAGCAAAAAGAGTCAAAAGCCCACGAGATCCCACTGCTTTCTGGACTATTCCCTTCCTTAACGGTCAGCCGTCTTGCAGTAACTGCATTGCCTTCTAGGCTGACTTGACTTTAGCTGTAATTTCATGTTGAACTGTTTATATGTGGCTTTGTGGCCTTGTATGAGAAAAATACTTAAATTTTATTCTACTTATTAATTTTAACATGTTGTTTTTTCTTAAGATAAAGAGCCACGTTACTAATTTCTGTAAATAATTTATGTCCTTTTTATTGCTTCTGAAAAATCTAATAATGGTTTCAGTTAATCCTTAAATTTATTTTGTTGGGTCCAGAGACTCTTTGAAACACAATACCGGCATGCAATCTACGTTTAGCAAAAGCTTCATTTCTTTAAAAGCATTCCAGCTCAATTCCTGTTTAGGAAATCTCAAGTTGTGTCAGCCTTATAGTTCTCACTGACCCATCTATTTGGGAAACATTAAGACAGGCCCATTATGGCTATGCAGTTTCTCTCTTGCAGGACTATGTGTGCACCAAACCCAAGAACAGGGGAAGCATTCACACATGTTCCAAGTCTCTCTGATGGACAAAGGACATGGACACCTTGACTTGTTCAAGTGTGAACACACAGCTTCCAGCCTCTTGTCCAGCTTCTGGCAGACCCTACCATATGGTTTGTGAGCTGTATTCAGCATGGCGTGCCATAAGTTGTACAGACCTGGCCTAAGCGCTTCAGCAAATAGAAAATAATCATACATAACTGGCAGCACAATCTCTAACCCAGTGATGTGTGGGTGAACATAGTTGTATTGCTCTCCACTGCCATCCAATTTCAACACTTTTAAATACTGTGAAAAGTTTATTTTTTGAAAATTTTAAAAGTGTGAATATGCAAGTTTATGAGTAAACAGAACTAATATTTGGTTGTTGTTTTTCCTTTGTAGATGATATATACTTTTCAGTTTGTTCATGTTAGGACTTTCCTTCCTTGCCAAACTGATAAACTCACATGGCTGTATAATCCAGATAGCTCAAATAAAATACTTTTCTATATGCACAGTGACAACATGTTCCTCAGTATTTCAGTCCAAGGGATTTTCCTGTCAACAACTGCCATATTTATCCTACACCTTGTCTGATGCTTTTGGAGTAGCAGGAAGGTAATGACATTTATGGATATCCAGTTATGAGAGCCCCTCTATAATCACTGTAAAGTCATTAATCATGGAGTGCAGTTGCATTTCATCAGAGGTTAAAGTGTGCTCAAGTAATTTTATTGTCATATTTTAACCATACTCTAAAAAAATCTCAAATGGGTTTGTTATCACTGCCCTAGGAGTGTGCAATCTTGAGGCCTTATGCCTGAAAGATTTGAGAGCTAAATCCATTTTTTAATACAGAAAAGAAATGGAACTTCTCGGTTATTGGAAGGGCACAAACCAAAATTGGCCCTAATATATTTCATGACATAATAATTTGTAATCTCATGTTGAAGTTGCAGGAGATTTTAAAAATCTAATACAGATGGCTGAGTTGATGCGGGATGGTATCGCTGTTGATACTGAAGATGGTGGCTTGGGTTTAAGGTTCCTGAAACTGGTGTAAGCAAGGCCATATCAATTTGAAATATTACACAGAAGCAGAATAGAAGAAATAATATCCCTTAATAGCAAGCAGTTTTCAAAAGGGAATGCCAAATTCTACAAAAAAGGAGAATCAAAGCTGATCCTTAATTAACTAGGGTTAATCCCATGTCAGTTAGGTACAGTATAGATAAGACATTTTTTTCTAGGAGAGTAGTGCAAAGGTTAAGAAGAATTTAGCCAAAAGTTGGACTGAAATTTTGGCAGATTCGTCATATTAAGTTTCATTGTTACATAATGGAAGTTTCATTTTAGTATAGTTGCTAAGATTAATTTAATTTAAAGGCACCGTCTTTTTTTCTCTCCCCAAGGAAGAAGGCTGGGGGAGAGCTACTCCCTTCACATGCTGTAAGATCCAAAGCAAGGCCAAGAAGCCAAGAATAACCAAAACCATATCAAACATATCTCACCATCAAATGACAGCTGGTCTTAAGAAAAACATGTCCTGGACAGCACACCTGGCAAGAGATCGCCGAAAAAAGGACCACAAATTTGGTAAGAAAGAAACAGTTTCAACTAAGAAAGAGTACGGAGTCTCCAGCGTCAAGCCGTACAACTTTGTCCAAGTGAAGACAAGCAATGCAGAGGGAGAAAGGATAAGAGGGAAATTAGACTCTATCCAGACATTCCTAGGTGAAAAAAGGACTTTACCCATAAAGGAATATGAAATTAAGTACTCGCAACCACACCCAGGACCTCAGGTCTTCAGGTATAAGGAGATCAACCTGCCAAAAGTAATCCGCAGTAATCCTCCCAGCAGCTTGAGGTATATATCCTTAAATGCATTGTTGGTCTTCAGAGCAGACGAAAGTGGCGTAATCAATCTGCATCTGGAGCCCCTTTCAAATAATGAATCAACTGCAGTCAACGGAACTGAGAGACAAGATAGCCCTTCAACTGAAACTGAATCACATAGCCTTACGACTAAAAAAATGAAGCAGAAAAACGCGAAGAAAGTTGGTAGGAATGACAGAATGAAAAAACAAATACAAAAATCATGTTATCACTCTTTGATTGGTCTCTGATGTTGAAGTATTTTGTCTACTCCACAAAACTGTTTCTTTTCCAATGCACTGAACACTAAGTCATTGCTCTGATACGAATACAGTACCAAGTATTTTGTCTATTCTGCAAAACTGTTTGATCTTTTCCACTGCACTGAACAGTAAGTCATTGCTCTGATACGAATACAGTACCTCACATAATAAGGATGTGAAATATAACCCACAGGGTTAATTCCTAGTCAAGTAATAAGGAACAGATTTTATCAGTAAGGTTAACCATGAAGACCTGAATTAAAGAAAGAAAAGACATACCAAAGTTTTTAAATTCACTTTGATTCTAGTGTGTTACAACAACTGAGAATTAATTTTGCAAATACTCTAACGTATACTGAGGAATCTAAAGTATCTCAAGTGTGTACAGGGATTTTTTCAGTTTCCTTAATTTACTGGCAGGTGCAATGTCTTTCAAAAAAAAGGGGGTTCCATTTCCCTTGAGAGATGTTGCTGAGCAGCTCCATAGAATATGTTCTCTACTACATGCACTCAAAGTGTTTAGCAAGACCCATATGCTGTGACATAGAGGTGGGCAACTTATATGTGTCACATGCACCTGCAATTTTAGGACCCCTCATGTCATCAACATGCAAAGCCATAAAAACAGCCTCTATGGAAGGCATGTCCTACATCTTTATTGGGCCCTTTAAAAAAATAGTGCCATTTACTATTTTATGGCCAACTTTATTTTGCAGGGGAGGCCTGGGGGGGTTCATAACTTTATTTGCCCTTGATATAATAGATGTTTTCTAAAATGCCTCTCTCTAGAAAAATACAACTGTTTCTAATTTAACAATGTGTTCTCTAACAATAGGTACTAGTTCTGTAAAGCAGCTTTGTTTTGATAATATGCAAAGTTGTTTAGCAATTGTGTCAAATACATTAAGAACAAGGTTTCTTACATTTAAAAACATTAGAAGACTAACATCAGATAGTGGAACTTAGCCGTTTGGTCATATTATTCTGCAGCTGCAGAATAATCCGAGATTGGACTCCCAAGTTAATGTGTTCACTAATTTAACAATAGGTACTAGTTCTGTAAAGCAGCTTTGTTTTGATAATATGCAAAGTTGTTTAGCAATTGTGTCAAATACATTAAGAACAAGGTTTCTTACATTTAAAAACATTAGAAGACTAACATCAGATAGTGGAACTTAGCCGTTTGGTCATATTATTCTGCAGCTGCAGAATAATCCGAGATTGGACTCCCAAGTGTCTTAACACAGCAACGGAATGTATGCTATATCGATTAGAAAGTTGCAGTCACTGAAGCTTGGAAAGGATATGCTAGTAGGAATAAAAAAAAGAGAGAGGAGAATGGAAGAAATCAAACATAGGCTGTTTAAATAATCAACAGCTTCACAAAATCTTCAAAATGTTGATTGCTTTCCATTAATAAGCCAGTCAAATCTTGTAATGATGTAGATGGTGACTTCAACAATGTCAGTGTGAATGTGTCTTCCACAGCACCAGAGAGAGAGAGAGAGAGAGAGCGAGCAGCAGCAGCAACAACCTAGCTTCAAGGGCACAGGGTGGGCCCATGGCACACGCAACTCTGTTTTCCAAAAGAGGTGACTCAACAGAGACCGAGGAGGAATGAGTGCTTAGCAGCTGTCTCACTGCCTACAGTCAGGGTATTTGGCCCTGGGCTAATAAAAATATAGGCACCAGCAGCAACAACAACCTAACTTCAAGGGCACAGGGTGGGCCCATGGCACACGCAGCTCTGTTTTCCAAAAGAGGTGACTCAACAGAGACCGAGGAGGAATGAGTGCTTAGCAGCTGTCTCACTGCCTACAGTCAGGGTATTTGGCCCTGGGCTAATAAAAATATAGGCACCAGTTGCATTTAGTGTAAAACAAAAAGCATGAATTGTTGTATACCAAGGCAGACATTTATTTGTTTGGTCTTTGTGAAATACATATTTTGCTACAAACATTTGAGCCCTTGTCCTAAACAGATTCCTTCAGGGCAAAAGTTCAATTATTTCAAGCTCAAACTATTTCCAGATTCTGCATGCAGTTGTATATGCAAACATTTAGTGGGCATAAAAAAACATGGTTTTATCATTTTACTGTTTCAAGGGAGAGGAAGTTACACGTGTAGGATGGATAAATGGATAGGATTTACTTTAAACTACTGAAATGCCATTGCATGCATGTAGAATATATTGTACTCTTTGGCATCAGACCTCTACTTGCCTGCAGGCCTTATCCAAGCAAAGTAAGATTTACGGCATGCAAAGACATTTAATTGCAACAGATCTGATCTTTAGTAAAGTGAGCACAAAGGAGATAAAAAGGGGAAAAGCAAATCCTTTTCAACCAGAAGAGAATTATTGTGCCACCAAAGCTTGGCAGAAAGCAGAGAGCAAGGAAAATTCCCACCGTACACAAGACTAAAATATTAGATCTCATACCAATTCAGGCAATATAAAAAAATTATAGGGATCACATTAGAAGCTTCCTTTTAAAGCAAAAGGTCACAACAGCCATTTATAAAGAATTCCTCTGTCTTGCTACTTCTTCCCCCACTTTTCTGAATGAGATGTAGCCTCTGTTTTGGAGGGGTAATCATCTTGTATACATTCTCTGAGAGAGTTGTTCATAAAGTGTTTGATTTAAACAATCACAAAGGCAACATACATGAGTAGCACTGAAATCTGATTCATTGTGACTCAGATCATTCATCTACACACTGGGACAGTGATTGTATCTTTGTCACTTGCTAAAATCCACTCATTTTCACCCCATTTCATGCAATGTACAATAGGCAAAAAAATATTTTACTGGAACCACTCAACAGGCCTTGTTTGCAGTGGTAATCCTTTGCATAGGTCGTAACTGTTTCAGCCTGCAGAAACTGGACTCACACAACTGAACACCCCTTCCTACAGAGAATTCTCACTCTATGGAAATCTTAAGCCTGGGTTCCAGTTTCTTAACATACCAGTTTTCAAAGCAATTGCCTAAAGACACATTTATCCAACATCCAGTCCAAATGTTAATTAGAAATGTCGCCATAAATTAAAAAACAACCACCCAAAACACACACCCACAAAACCCCAACATACAGAGGGCTATGGGCAGTTTTATTTCAATGTCCATTGCAGCTTAACTCAGTTTTGCACTCTGTAACTCAGTACACAGCATGAACATATTCTCATAAAGATTTTTTTTTGCAAATTGTCAAATATGATGCAATAAAATACCTTTAAAGTGAGTGCTTTAGCTATAGTAACAAACACTATACCAATTCTGATTTTAAATGTTTTCACGCTTCAAGACATCCTCAAAACACACACAATGCGATTTCTTGGGGCAGAATGATATTCAGGAAAAGATGGATAGAATGTTAACAGTTTTATGCTGGTTACCTTCGCCTACCAATTCCACACCCACAACCTTCCAACTACTCAGTCAGGCCTGGCAGTTATAGTAAGACTGTAAATAATACAGCAATGCATCTGTCCTCACAGGTAGCTCCAGTGCGGCTCTGAATAATTTGTCTTTTTACTCCAACCTTTAAAAGGGCTTAAATTGTACCTTAAATTACAGACATTAAGAAGCTCAAGACAGATAACTAGGAAAGCCCTCTGAGAAGGTAAGTATCCAGTACACAGGAGAACAGTTTCTCATACAATTCCTTGCAAAAGTTATTTCATGACTTGCTTGATGAGGGAACTGACTGGAACAAATTTTTGTTCACTGACTAAAAATTAACCTGGTTGGCTTTTAGACCTCATTAATTCTGTGCCTTCACTAAAAGGACAACCCAAGAACAGAAGAACTTGAGGGTGAGGAAATTCTTAGACAAAGCCAGTAAGTTATGTATGCCCTATGTTAAGGTCACTCTGAAAATATGTTGACTATATGTTACCACGCATGCTCCATTTTACAATAAGTTGCAGACAAGACCATTCCTACACATTACTATCAACAAGGCAGGAAAAAAAACAGGATTGCTTTGTATCTGAGTGATACAACAATTAGCATTTGAGCCACAACAATTAGCATATCAGTTGGCACTTCAGCATCTGCATAGATTAATGAGCACAAATATTCCAGACATTTATAGATTGCTTTTGATAAGTGTATATTGAACGCAAAGAGCTTGGTTGTTTAGATTTAACAAGGGATAATCTCCAGCTCAGGAGAAAGATCTGGGGTTTCAGTCTTTATTTAGGTCAAGTGGCACAGGCATACAGAAATTTACCTTCCTGTAAGTACCTTGCGAACATTTCATGTCTCTAGGAATTTAAGTCATGTCAATTTTGCTATGCACCTATATAAGAAGTGTTTTAAAAACTCTACAGATCATTTCCCTACTAGCAGGCAGAATACACTAATGTGGGAGAAGCCTCTGCAACTGGAAAATCGAAGGCAGAGGCAGTATCTTATGCATCAAACTCCCTTTATTGAGTTCATCTTCATCTTACACAAATACTGAGTTCAGATAATTACAATCTGAAGTACATTTTGGTTTCATAAAAAGGTCAGTGGCGTTGAGGAACCCTACTTAACTTGACTGATAAGTCAAGTTATTTTATTTTCCCCAAATATATTCTTGACATTCTTCAGATAGATGAGCAAAAAGGAGAAAAAGTAGATTTGTTATTCCTAAAGAAAAAAAAGTAACTATATTAATTTTGCACAGTACATTTTGCAAAAATGTCTTAAGTCTGTTTTATGAACTCAAAAGGAACATGGGACATTCAACTTCCCTTGCAGATTCGTGCAGATGTCCAGACTGATTCTGTCACAGTAACAGAATTTATATGAGCTATTGCCTAAAGACTGTGTCTGGGATAGGATACTACAAAAAGAATAAGACCCAAAGGTCAAAATGGCAGCATTTGTACTAGATGTAGCTCACATTCATAAATAACAACTTAAAGACAATCATAAACTTAAGGGATTGTATGTCAACATGATCTTCACTGTATCAGTGGCACTGAAGTTTTGAAAGAGGACAGCTGCAGGTTTTATGAGCTGCACAAGCATACACACACGTACACATATACAAGTGACTGAACATTTAGCACAGATGCACCACACAGATCAATTTCAATGTGCCTTTTAGCACTTGTACTGAAGTGCATTAAGGCCACTGTATTCTGGACTGCAGCTTACCAAGGCTGTAAATCTTAGCAAGCTAGACCAGGTCTAGTTTTGCACAGGAATGACAAGAACAGCACACTGCTTCTATGGGAGTAGAAACTTAATAGTGCCTCCTAACAATCTGCTAAGGTCTTCAACTCTTTGACCACGATGGAACTCCCAAGGCTTCTCTGCTCTGGCAGTTGAAGCGGGCAGCCTCTTTTTTTTTATGGTTTCACTTACAGTTATACTTCCAAGGCAGTTGTTGGACAGATGCTTTTGAGACAATTTTTAAAACAAGAAAAGATCTACCAAAGGTGCACTGGAGATAATTTAGTTTGAAGCATTTCAGAGACACTAGTTAAAATGAAGTGGCTTTTAGATTAACATGAGTCACATATACATGGAATGAACACTTCACTTTTGCCAAATGATTTTTGGGGGGGGGAAATATCTCAAACATTTCAGCTCCACCATCTTTTCAACAGCAAGGCATTCTGTAGTACCATCCAGCTCTGAAGACCCATATAACATTTGTAACAGCCAAGAGCCACCAGGCTGAGAGCACCAGCTGGCACATGCCAAGGGTGCTTGGTTCAGACATTGACCAGCCCTGGTGCCTTCTTCTAAATGCACTTTTAAGGCAGACACAGCCCTGCCAAGAGAGCAGAAGGAATAAGCACCGGACACAATGCGTTTCGTCAGCAGATAACCATTCCAGGAGTTATTGTTCTTGACAGAATTAAAAAAAAAACTATAAATAAAAGATATTTTCAAGAATACATAATAGAAACAATCTGAGAAATGAAGAAATACCATATCTAGGCTGGTAGACTACCATCAGAAATATTAAACAGCAGCAACAGCAGTACAGATTTGGCATTGAAAGCCACAGAGATTCTTAACAGAATCCTGAGGCTCAACAGGATTCAAACAATTTACTCCCTGTTCTATGCCCACTAAGTAGGCTGAAAGATCATCACTGAAAGGTAGTTGTTGTGCATAAGTCATGTGGTGAATCCGATGAACAACGTTATTAACTGGAAGAAGAGCTTGCTGGTGACCATATTCTGAAGTGGAAGACGCCTGCTTTTTTGTGCCTTCACTTACAGTCACATTTACAAACGTCTTACTTAAAATGCATTGGGCTAAATAAGATGTAACTTACATACTGTTTGTACTTCTCTCTCCACTCTTTCCTTACTTGGTATACCTTCCAACAGCCAAGACGCTTTGTCCTAAACTCCTGCTAGACTTGTAAGAAAGTTCAGAACGAATATTTCTGATCAGACTGCAACTATTATTTCAAGAAAGTTAAATTCATGATCGAGAGAAATTTGCCCATTTGAAACAGAAAAACTGTGATCTTTGTGGAACATAATAACTTCAAGATTTGCTTGTGTTCCACATACTCTGAGAAGCAAAGACTTAGACTACCAGAAATATTAAAAGTCAGAGAAAAACAGTTCTGCATACTTTGGTAACATTTCTTAGAATACCGTGATTAAGCCATCAATTCGTATGTCATTTCAAGTTTTCAGAATGCATTCATACAAGACTGCCAGGCTGAATCAAATCAACATTCTGAAATGTGAATTCACTGAGATAACTGGGTACAACCATGATGTAACCCATTTACAGTTAGAAAGCAACAATAAACTCTGGCATAAAGATACAAAAAATAAAAAGAAATTAAGGAAAAACAGAAAGAACAGAAAGATGGGTAATATCTTCAGGATGTGGGTGATAAGCAAAAATATAAAGAAAACTAGCTTTTGGTCCAATATTTCTTCATAAAACTTACAGTATAATCCTGTATTAGTTTACTCAGAAGTTCTAATTTGTTCAATGGGGCCTGCTTCCAAATAAACGATGAGGAGGCTATAATCTTAAGTGTCATCTTAAAAAGACACACATTAACTAAAGGCTCTGAGTTATGAACTCTGGGCTTTACAAAATTCAGCTCCACACAGCAAAGGCAGGCACAGGATTAGGAAGGATCCATAGACTAAACATGCTACAGAGAACATATGCACACAGGGTTCATATTAGTAACAACACTCCCATGTTAAAGTACCTTAGCATATGAGAAAGTATGTAAACCAACTGCACATAAATTACATTCAGTGGAGCTAACTTCAATGTCAGCTTCTTCTACACAAACATAACTTAATCCTTAGAGAAGGCAGAGTATGAAAACACCACTCAATGGCTTGCTTTATCAGGACTGTGAAACAAAGAACATAATTCTGCACAAGTCTGTGTTTCTACCGAACTGAACTGCGACTCCATTGTATTCCAGGCCAAATCAGCCAGCAGAAAGTCATCCATTGCCGTTTGGGTCTCGTTGCTGGTTAGAAATAAGCTGCCTAGAGTTTCAAAGCAGCTATCCATGGTCTGTGTCTCCGTACTATTAAGCTGGACTTTGCTCTCAGCCATTTGATCACAGGCATGTCTCTCACTAAAATGGACTTCTGTTTGGGTCTCTGTATCAGACGAGTCTGTGCTCATAGAGAAGGTGGACTGCTTCAAGATGCTACCCAAGGGCAAATAAGGGCTGTCTAAGAAGAAATTTAAGTCTGTCTGGGTCTGGGTGTCAAACATCTCTAAGCCTAAAAAGTTGGGGTTACCTCTGCAGCTATAGGACTGTGTGGCATTATCAGAAAACAAATCCGTCTGAGTTTCAATGTCTAGTGACTCCAAGACTGGTTCAGAGTTCAAGTTACCAAGTTTGGTCTCTTCGGTCTGAGTTTGGATATCTGACGCTGTGAAGAAATCCTCTATATCGAAATCTATTCCTGTGTTCTGGGTAGGGCCAGAAGGTAGGAGAGCGCCAGCACCTGAGTTGGCATCTGTTAAAAGTGTGCGGTTATCCAATGGCTGACCTGCTGAATTACTAGAAAAAATAGTTTCAAGATCGCTAAGTAACTCCATTGTCTGGGTCTGATTGTCTGTCATAACTTGCTGGGGGAGAATATTATTCTGTGCACTGAAGCTGATAACTGGCTCACACTTTGTGCTCTGACTCAATGATCTGCAGCTTCCTCTCTGTAGCAAATTTTGACCCAGGTCTGCAGCCATCAAGTTGCTGTTGGAAAGGGCTACAGGGCTTGCATCAGTAAACGACGAGCTAACACTGTCAAAAATGTCATTGCACATTACAGCCTGGTCCATCTGTCCTCTCCCATCCAGACCCTTCTGCGACCGATTGGTTTGAGTCTCCCGAGAAATTCCACATGGCTGAAAACAAGCTTGGCCTAGTGTGTCTGTCTGAGCAGCTATGGAGGAAGTCAGCTTTGAACTGGGCAACAGGGTCTGCGTCTGGACACTAATTGGCAGCAAAACTTGGGAACTGAATGTCAGGTCTGTCTGAGAACAAGAAGACACGGAGGAATCTGCAGGCCAAGTGGCAGAGGGCATACAATTAGGTGAAATGTAAGACAGGTCAGTCTGCACATTTGTGGAACAAATCCCATTCTTATAGCATATGGTCTCCACATCTTGCATTGCAGTATTCAATGTACATTTCCCCAAATTGACCTGGATACCTGTGCTGACAGGTTCAATGCTGCTAGAGTTTTTGGTTCTGGAAAGGTTGAGGGAGTTTTTAAATCCAAGTGCTTCAGCCTCCACCGTAGGCAATGTGATTCCTACCGAAAGAGGCAGCAAATGAACGGTACTCATCACAGAGCCTTTGCTGTCGACGGCAACCACCACAGGTTTGATGGATGAGTCCGGCGCTGATACAAGGACAGGCAAATGAGCCAACTGCATGACAGGTAGTTTCACCAAAGCCACTTTTGGTTTTGGCAGAAGCAACTTTGGTGTGTTTTTTGGCTGCGTTTGTGTTTGTTTGGTGGTGTAGGAACGGCTGAAGTCCTCAAAGGAAGTTGCTAGCTTGATCTCAGAGGTATCCGAGTTTTTAGTGTTCGTACATCCGTTATGGATATTGGCAATGGCTTCTCTACCTTTTTCTCCCAGCAGTTGATTGGATACAGAGGTTTCAGTTTTCCTTTTCTTGCTAGGAGGATCCCTGTAAATATTAACAAATCCATAGCAAGTGAGTGGGTTCAGCCCTAGCATTGTTCCCTTCATTCATTCCAAATCAAGGCAAGGTGCTTGGAAATTTTAATTGTATTTTAATTTTAATTGTATTTTAATTGAAGGTAAGGCGCTTGGAAATTTGGAAGCAAACATTACACACCTGCCTTGGATTAGAGCCAATTTGAAAACAACACAATCTGTAAAGAGAGATTTGTATTTCAAAATTATTTCCTGCCCTGACATTTTTAACCATTCCTGAAACAAAATTCCAGTTTGACCATAGCAGGAATTATCTTATTTCAAACCAGAATTAGAAAAAAGATCAATGGAACAAATTAAATTAAAGGTAATACTATTGGAAATCATGCACTGACTTATTTGCTGGGTGAAGGAATCAGTTTTCCCCTCAATCAAACTATGTGCCTAAATTACTTAACCAACAAATGCTAGTTAATTAACATAATTATACAACAGTTTAGCAATGTAAGATCTAAGCACTGAACCATGTTGAGCAAATACGCAATTCTGCTCTGCAGTTTTACGTGTTTTTAATACTACTCTCCCATTAACTGCATTCAGTGTTCATGAACTTATTATGTTAACCTTTTCAATAAATAACTATATAAGCAGTAACTGTGTCTCCTCCCCTTGTAAACAGATCTGCATATAGAATGCTAAGCTGAAAGATACGACATTTGGCAGGAGGTAGCCTATTTGTTAATGGGTGCTTGGTTGCACAAAGTCAAGGGAGAAACTCATGCCCATTAAACTCTCAGCAGAAACATATAAGGAAGCCAAAAAGGAACAAAAGAGGAGTTACTAGAAGAGTGTTCTCTATGCAAATGTATTAGAATCTCCTCTTTAAGATGAATGTGAACATATACAAAGCAGTTTAAAATGGAAGAAAGAAACCATCTGCTCTTACCTGTGTTCCACAGGTATCTCATGCTGAGTCCTATAAATATGAGACAATAATGCTGTCCTGCTGGCATAGGGGCATCCACAGGTACACTGGAAAGTCTTGCCACAATCCTCAATGTGCCGCTTCAGATCCCATATGGTGCCATAAGAATTGCTGCATTTGTCACATTTATGCTTCTTTTCAGCATGCATTTTCATAAAATGCTGAAACACACAAAAATGTCAGGCCCTCCATATAAACCCAAGAAGCTGCCTCGCCAGCTGAGATTCCTATTCTGTCTAGCTCAGAATTCTCAACACTGGCTGATTGTGACTCTGCAAAATTTCAGATGGGACATTTTGCCTGCCCTGCCTGAAAATGTCAGAGACTGAGGTGGGAGCTTTCTGCAGACAAAGTAAGCTCTTCACCATTATGCCAATTGCATTCCATGACAGGACAGAATGGAGTCATACTTGCAACATTACATTCTAGTCTTTTCTAGTAAAGACCAGTACTTAAAAGTAGGCTCTTATCAGGGAAACACTTCTGTAATTTGGGTTGAATGTTCAATTCACTGGAAATGTTTTGAGGGTTTAAGAATGTTGCCAAAATAACAATGCAATGTGAAAATCTGCTGTAACCAGCTTCTATAATTTTTCTGCACTATCCATGAAGAATAGTGCAGACGTGGCCTGATGAAGTGGAACTGCAATTGGTCTGATTATTTATTGATCTAACAAAAGCTATAATCCACTCTTGCATTTATGTAACTTTTAATAGGAAATGAGCTACACACACTGCCACTAAAATAAGATGAATTTTTAAAAGCATACTAAGAATTACAGAATACACTTGTCAGAAGATCCACATGTATTACTCATTAATTCACTCTTATTCTGAATGATGTTAGCAGTGCATGTTATTATATGTAATTCTAATAAATGCATTTTAATAACTGACAAGCCAAACCAGTATTTGAGGAACCTAACCATCAGGTATACAGCAGTATTTTCAATTTCTTCCTTTCACTTTTCATGCTAGCAATCAATGTTAACTAATTTAAGAAAACTCTCTAATTAAAAAATAAAGAACAAAAAACTCTCAAAGGTTTCAGACTGATCCTATAATTAATATCTAAAGCAATGAAAAAAATTATGTTCAAATGCAGAATCTCCTATGGGCAGTAAGGTAACACAGAAACGTTGCCATTCAAGAATAGCTTACTTTAAAACAGTACATTTTACTCATATTGGTTTATTACAATTGTAATATACCAAGAGACATACCTGCCTTACAAGAGAAAATTGTGAAAAAGGCCTTTCTGGTCCTCTGGGACAACCTTCAATAGGACAGCAGTAGTATTTCTGTGCTGTTTTCAAATTCTTCCTCATTGCAGGATTTATTTTTCCATCCTGCGGAAACAGAGTATCATTTCAAAAACAACAACAACAACAACATGTTTGGAATGTAGTGTATATGTAAAAGAAAATAAACATTGTTTCTTCTTTATTTTGCCCGAGCTGATACTTAAACCTGAAGGCCATTTTTCTGTGTTCCTAAATTTTCCTGCAGAAAGAAAAATGCTCTGTAGGTGATTTTAACCACATCTACTAGTTTGTTTGATTTGGTACAAAAGTGATGGCTCTCACCTCCATACCTAACTTTGAGCCAGGATTTGCATGTATGCTTCAAACATCAAATAATCAACACAGAACTTAACCTGTGAAATTTTGAATTTTTTAGGCCTATGGATAAGAGTGTGTTGAAGTGCTTGCTGAAGAGAATCCAAGACTCAAAGGTGACTCAGTAAGATTTCAATTATTTTTGCAGTAAGGATTCAGCCCAGTGCAAAGTCCTTTGTGCTTCCCATGGACTAGCAGAATCCAAATGAATGAGACTGCAGAATTATAGAGATTTATTTAATTTATACAAGTGGAAGAGTACAACTATTTCAGATCCTTCCAGAAAACTGGACAGAATTTGAACTACATGTTTGTAGTCTGATTTTTTTTTCTTTTAAGTGTGGGGTTCTCTTTATTGCCAAATATTTGTCACCTAAACACAGAAACTAAGGACAGTCTCAGAGACTGACACCTAAGCAAAAACAATACACTCCGTTGCTTTTTTGAATTTACAGCTTTATAGAACTTACTGATATAAGCTCTTCCATTAAAAATAAAGCTAAATACTGCAAATAGGGTTTTATTCATTTATTTGATTTATATCCCGCCCATCTGATCTATACGACCACTCGTATGGGAGGCAAACTAAACAACCCTTCGCTTTTATATTACATAGGTAGGCAACCGCCTCATCCATATCTCACTTTATTAAGCACACATTAGTTAATCTGAACAGGGTGTTCACTTGAAACCGCTGGCACTTTTCCATCCACTTACTATTTAGAAACCATAGTTAAATCAGGATTTCCCAACCCAACCGACTCGTTTGGGATTTACAAATAAGAGGATAAACTCGTTTTAAAAGCATTCGATTGAAGTAGCTTCAGTTCATCACCCAAGGTTTACCAAGCACTTGTAAACGTGCGGAGGTACATATGTATTTTTTTCCTTTATATTTGTTATGTTTTTATTTTGTAAGCCGCCTAGAGTGGTCGAAATGACCAGATAGGCGGGGTATAAAAATAATAAATAAAAAGTATGTAACATTATTTGTGAACCACCTTGGATCCTTTGAAGGAGAAAGGTGAGGGAAGGAGGGGGGAGGAATAGGAATATTATGAATGAATGACCAAAGTTGTATTTTTTTCCTTTATATTTGTTATATTTTTATTTTGTAAGCCGCCTAGAGTGGTCGAAATGACCAGATAGGCGGGGTATAAAAATAATAAATAAAAAGTATGTAACATTATTTGTGAACCACCTTGGATCCTTTGAAGGAGAAAGGTGAGGGAAGGAGGGGGGAGGAATAGGAATATTATGAATGAATGACCAAAGTCAACAAATCTTGGGCTCCCTCAAGTCCAACCCACAAGCCCGCGAGGTCTCAGGCAGACAGATATACCTAAATTGAACAAATTAAGTTGAGGTAAAAATAAGTATGTAACATTATTTGTGAACCACCTTGGATCCTTTGAAGGAGAAAGGTGAGGGAAGGAGGGGGGAGGAATAGGAATATTATGAATGAATGACCAAAGTCAACAAATCTTGGGCTCCCTCAAGTCCAACCCACAAGCCCGCGAGGTCTCAGGCAGACAGATATACCTAAATTGAACAAATTAAGTTGAGGTAAAAATCACATCACTGCCAGGCGGTGGGCCTTGCTGAGGTGCATGCTGAGGGCCGGCGGGTTGGGCAGCACTTTCCCGCAGCCGGGCACCGTGCACAGGATGTTGCTCCTCACGGCCCGCGAGAGCTCCGTCACCGAGGGCCTCACCAGCTCCCAAGGGCTGGACGGGCGCTCGCGGGAGACAACCCCGCCGCCAACGCTTCTTCCTCCTCCTCCTCCTCCCCGGGGCGCCG